ACAGGCTCAGACTGGAGATTTCCAGTGGTGGCGGTGGTGTAACTTCTTCTAGCTCCCTGTGGCTACAGGGAAATTACATGCATAATCCCAAGAGCAATCATCGTAAAAAAGAATGACGCAAGTGTGACCTGCTGGAGGCAAAAACACTCTGAAGACAGGGACAGATACAGGTTGAGGCTGGAGGAATCACAGGGAAGCACTGACAATGTCCACTAGAGAGGGCTCTGGACTGACACCCTGGAACTTGAAGTCACTATTCTGGTGAATGGTCTGCTCAGTCTTACCATGGATTGAACCCAGAGCCTTGTGGTCCTGTGGATTGAATCCAGGGCCTTTGCAATGATCTCCATTTCCAGCCCTTTTTAAATTTTTTGTGTTTTACTATTGAGATGGGATCTTGCTAATTTGTTCAACTGTCCAGCCTGGGCTGGGTTCAAATTTGTAAGTCTCTACAGATATTGGAAAGTAGGCAGAACCTGTTCACATAAGAAGGGAACAAGAGAGGAGGGAAGGGAAGGGAAGGGAAGGGAAGGGAAGGGAAGGGAAGGGAAGGGAAGGGAAGGGAAGGGAAGGAAAAGGAAAAAAAGGAGAGACTAGAAGGGAAAAATGGAAACAAAGCTCTTGTAGGTGGGGAGGCAAAGAAGGCTGAAGGAAAGGGAGGGGAATGGGAAAAAAAGAATTAAGATATATGATGTACAGGTACAGCTCCCATACAATGAATGTGGTCATTGTGTATGACAAATAAGTACTAATAAAAAGAATGAAGTTAAACCAAAAACCAAACTCACTTGTGATCCTCCTGCCTCAGGCGCCCAGAGCTCCGGTGTTACAGGTTTGTGCTAACATACCTGGTTTTAACAACTACAAAAAACATGTTACTTCTGTGTCTCAGCTTCTTCATAAAATACCTAGAAGCACCTGACTCAGAATTATTATTAGAATCATAAAAGGTAAAGTATTTCAGTCCTGGAATATTGTAAAGGAAACTAACAATTTTTGTTTCTAAAAATCTCTTTTGCACTTAAAATTGGGCAATTGCTTCTTTTAGCACCACAATAAATTTATGCCAGATTCAAAGTACATAAATAAGAATAATGTTTGGATGATACAAATACACATATGTTAGCAGGAGCTTGATCACTCATAGTGAAAACAAAATTATGATTCCTTTGACACTATCATAGAAATAACTAGAACTAGAAGTTTGAATACTGTTATTGCTTATAGCTAGATGTCCTGCAAAAGCTTCATGATCTCATAGGAAGAGCTTTCTGGAGATGACTGTACCATGAGAGTGGATCAGTTCTCTGATGAGTTTATGCCTGGGTATAATGTTGATAGGTAAATCCAGGTGGGAAGAGGGGGCCACTGTGGAAGTGGCCGGAAGGGTCTCTGTCCCTCCTCCTTCCTTGGTCTCTGTTTCCTGCCTACCCTGCCATGGACTGTTCTCCTATTTCCTTCCTTTCTGTCATGCTTCCTGGCCTTGGATCCAGCCAGTGATGGACTAAAACCTCTACAAACTGTGAGCCAAAATAAATCTCCCTTCCTTTAACTGGCCTGGTATTATTGTCTCAGTGATGAGAAAGTAACTAAGGCAAATACCTTCTGAATTTATACTTTTGCATAATTTTAGACTTTGAATGTACCTATAAATCAAGAAAACTATGTTATTAGTAGGAATAATGATGGCAAAAAGCACTAGGTGGATTTGCGGGAGGAAAGAGTAAACTGCAATAAAATCAATTTTCTTAAAAAATAATAAAAAAGGCATATGCAAATACTTTTATTAGCATTGAGATGACATTAATTTGAGCTACATAAAAGCACTAACACTTAAATTTGTTGACCAATGGAAAGAATAATTTCATACAATAAAACTTGATACATAAAGTCTATTGAAAGATAATCCTTTGTAGACTTTTTACTTCCTATTTATCTTACTGGTCAAAAATACAAGGCACTGACCTTTCTGAATCTGGGCCACTTCTCCATTTTGCCTGCACTCAGATGACCTCAAGTAATAAGGAAATATCTCCTTCTGGGATGAAGATGAGGAGGCAGTGGGCCCCAAGCTCGGCGTCTCTCTCCTGTAACACAGCGTCCTGCACACACAGAGTACCTGGGATTTTGTATCATCCCCTTGGAATTGGGAGCAAAGGAGTCCATGGACAGACGCTGAAATTTAACCTGCTTAATGTACTGTGAGAAATAATGTCTCATGTCTCTGGCCCTGGTGTTGCGTGTCTTCTGCTAACATCCATGAAACGATAACAGGCTGACTTCCTAGCCTTAAATTTGGGTGAAAACAAATCCCAAATGCAGCTAGGGGTGTGGCGCATGCCTGTCATCCCAGCATTCTGAGAAGGAGTGCACAAAGGGTGAGCTCAACCTTTGTGAGCTAAGTCCTGGCAACAGGACTTAGCCAATCCTGACTCTAAATTAAAACATTTAAAAAGAACGGGATATGTAGCTCAGTGTGAAGGTCCTGGGTTCAATCCCCTGTACCACAGGAGAAAGAAGGAAAGAAAACAAGAGAGAAAGCCTTACTATACCACCGCTACCAGCAAAAGGCATAAGTGCCGGGAACAGTGCAGCTGTGACCGGCTGGCACAGTGTCCTTGGATATGCAGTCACCGTTTCCAAATCTCCTGGGTGCCGGTCACAGTGCACTTCTGGGTTGTAACCCTTTCATTAGCTTCTCTTGTCCTCTGTTTCTCCATGTTTGGCTAGTGTGTGGCAGCCAAGGGTCAGACAGGCAAGTGTCTGGGGCAAGAGGGCCGTCTCGAGATTGCATTTATTTGCACCACTTGTGGAGTTCTCCCAGGCGATTACCATTTTATACCAGGAAATGGAAACTATCCCTAGGGAAAATCACCGCGACCGCTTGTCATCTTCCTCCCCTTATCCTTAGGATCCTTTCACAGGGTAGAAAGCACCCAGAAAAAGCAAACCATGGGTCAGTCATATCCCCAGGACTCCAAGCCCTCAGAAGAAAGGGAGTCCCTGAAGGAAAGAAGCCCCTCAAGGAAGCAAGGGTTGTTTCCCCAAAACCTGAAAACATTGCTTCAGGAGGCTTTAGGCAAGCTGGTGGATTGAGTATCTTTCTATCTGTTCCCTTCCAACGGTATTTGTCTATGGGCTTAAACCTCAATAGTACAGGTTGTGACACTTGCTATGAAAGTCATCAAATAAACTTTGCAGTCATCAAATAAACTTTGGCAATCGCAGGCCCCAGTTATTTAAAAAGAAACCTTGGAAGCTAAAACATGGCAGATTAAAACCTATAGGCAGTGTCTCTCTAATGTTTAGTTTCTCCGCTCTCCTTGAATGTGACACTGGCTTTCTTCTTTGCTAGGCTGACTGTGGATGAAACCTGACCACTCTCCCGGACAATGCCACAATTGTGGAGCTGGCATTTTTATGTAAATAGCTTTTCTCTGATTCATTAAGCGCTATTGCCCCTGACATTTTCCTTTCTGACCCTTATCAGCCACACACTAGCCAAACATGGAAAAAGAGACAGGACCAGGGAAGGCAATAAAAGGGTTACAACCCAGAAGTGCTCTGTGATGGAGACCAACAAGGAAATTTGGAAATGGGTGAGTGCACATGCAAGGGTGCCCTGTCAGCCGGTGATGGTGACATTTGTTCAAAGCTTGTCAAATGCTTAGCCCCATTTCCAGGTGTCACGTAGAGATACACAGGAAATGACAGCCATGAGCACTACTTTAAGAGCACTTAAAATTTAATAGGTGCGATGGTGCAGTTTAATAGCTATGCATCCATAAACAGCCAATCTGGCTCTCGCTTCCTTCTCTATTTATTCTTTATTTCTTTCATAGCAAGTGTCACAACCTGTACTATTGAGGTTATTTATTTGTATTCTTGTTTAGTGTGGCTTCTCCTGACATGGGATTTGCCTGCTATGAAATGGTGCCTCCACTCCAATTATTTATGACTGTTAATCGGAATCTCACCTACTGGCATAGAAATTCTAAATAGAAGGGACCACATCCATCTCAGTCACCATTGTAACCTCATAGCAGAGTCTCAAAAAAAAAAGTAAATAAAAAAATGAATACATAAAACCAGTGATAGCTATATAGAGACATTATATAACTTACCTTCTGCCACTAACTCGTAAACACAAAACTAAGGGAGAATCTGATTCAAAGCTTAACAAAAATTTTCAGAGAATTTAGGCAAGAAAATAAAAAGACCCAGAAATTTATTTCTATTTCATTACCCCAGTGACTATTGAGATCTCAAATCAGAAATAAAATATAAGAACATGAGAGGCATGTCGGAAGCTCATCATGTGATCTTTGTGAGATTTAAGGAACAGTGGGATTCCACGAGCACTCATGGACTTCTCAAGCTGGAATGCTGGGTGGAATAATCATGACTGTGCTGAGCCATCCCAGTGGTAAAGCTGGACCAGGATGCCCCACTCCTCGATGCTAAACTCAGCCACATGACTTTCTTTTCTTTTCTTTTTCTTTTTTTTTTTTTTTTTTTTTTGGTAACAAGGATCCATGACCTCACACTTGCCAGGCAGGTGCTTATGTCACTGAGCTAAATCCCTGGCCCCCATGTGTCTTTCTTTAGCCAATGGTATCTTAGATGTCTGATGCCCTCAGAAGTTTAAAAAGTGCCCCCACCCTGGGACTTGCTGGAAACCTTGTGTTTTCTCCTCCACCATTGCCATGAGCACATGCCCAGCTTAACATGCTGAAGGACAGGCCTCCTGTGTACAGCCACCACCTGCGGTCCTCGCTGGGGCTGCCCCAGCCCTGCTGAGAGAGTGGCCCTGGATGAGAGGAAGCAGTGGTTTTGATACTGCCCAGACCAGCAGGCTGCCTCACTGTCCACTATATAGATTATGTGCCACTGAGTTTTAGAGGGCTTAATTAGTTGCATTATTGTAGCTATAACTAATACTATGCTCTTACAGAGTGATAAAATTTGATTACCAACAAAACAAATATTAACATGCCGACACAATTCTTCTTTATTGGATTAGCAATTATTTTTAACTCCATGATTTGGTTTTCCCCACAACCGCCCAAACCTTCCCTGCAACCACGTCTGCATCACCAAGGTCACACAAGCCTGGGGAGGCTGCGTCTAGAGCAGAGACTGGCAAGTGACAGCAGGTTAGCACAGCAGAGGTGCAGGTTAGCTTCCCAGCAGCCCTGGAGAGCCAGTACTTGGCCATGCGCAACGTCCAGGATGGAGAGCACGGCCTCCATGGCCACCTCACAGGTCGGCCGCATCTGCTCTTCGGGCAGGATAAACTCATGGGTGCCATTGTCCCTCAGCTCAGATGTGTAGGAGAAAGGGATCTCGATGTGTCCAGTCCAATCTCTTGATGATCCGAATGTTTTATCTAGGAATGAAACACGATGGATGTAGGAATCGGGCTTTGGAAGGGCAGACTTCTTCACCAGGCCAGGAAATAAGGGGCTAGCTGTAAAGAACTGCTTTTGCACTGGGGCTCCCTGGATAGTGGGCTTCTCTCTCTCCTTATAGGTCACTTTGAGGGCAGCAACCTCCACCCACACAGTAAAGGGCAGAGAATTTGGTTACAGTTCCTTGATGGAATCAAAGGCTGGGCAACCTCATACTGGAAGGTAAGAGTGCACTGAAATAAAAGCTAACAGAGAAACGGTATGTAAGTATTATCTAGGTGGACCTCTGAGAGGGAGGAGGTGTCGGCTGGGCTGGGAGAAGCAGTGCTGTCTTCCTTCAGCCAAGCTCTGTTCCTTTCTGCCTCTAGGTCCCACCCTGCTTGGCTTCCTTAGCCTAACAGGTCCTCTGGGAATTAACTGACCAAAGATCAGGGGACAGTGTCCTTCCTGTTAACTTTGTGTGTTCTCACTTGCCAGCTCTTTTTAACTGAAGCCAGGGGGGAGTTTAGGTCGGAGCCAGTGTATTTTATTTTCCTTTCGTTCCCACCGTTTCCCTGGAGAATGTAATTTTGGACTCGTATAGACTCCCTTTTATCCCTGGTCATTTTGATTTGTACAACTCCCTGTTGATCTATTCCTTTCCTGCCTACCTTACCCTGCAAATTCCATTGACTTCTTTTGTGCCTTGGATACTACAGATGAGGAAAAAAAGAGGGGGAAAAATGATACTTACATAAAATATCTGCACTCGATTCAACTCTATAATTGGTTCCATGCTTTGCTCTCAATGTATTTGCCTCCTTCTCTCCAACTTGAATCTGTAGGTGGGAAAGGCAGAGACAGATATCTGGTGTTAAAAATAAATCCAGTAATCCAAACATTGGGTGTTTTGTCCAGACCTATCTCCAGAGGAGTTTTAGACCATCCTTCTAACTTCCCCCTGGACAGCCAGGCGGCCTGTTCATACTCGTAACTCAGCACCTTTCCGTTCAATTGCATCATCTCTCTTTCAGTAAGGTGGTTGTAAATTTCCTGTTTCTTGCATGCTCCCTCAGCTCAAGGTAAAATGCCGCAGGCATCTTTGACTCCTGCTTTCTCCAGCAGTTACCAACTTGCAGTTCCAATGTCATTGCCCTCGGTCAGATTCATTATCTGAAAACTGGTCTGCTGCATCTTCTAATAAGTTTCTCTTCCTCTCATCAATCCTTATTCAGATTGATCCCACCTGGCTTCCAGATGCATAGAGCTAGAACCATCCTCCTGCTGCAAACGTTCAATAACTCCCAGTGCTCACTGAATAAAGTACAAACTTTTTATCCTCATTTTTCAAGATCCTTTCAAATCCAGCCCCCAGGGACCTTTCCACCACCGTTCTCTGCACGGCCAACTTAGATTGCACTGAAACTCAATCTCCCCATTCTCCAGACATGTCCGGGGCTCTTCAGTCTCCTTTTCTGGTGGTGTCCCTTTTACCTGGAGTTCCTACCTCTTACCTCTGCCTTTTGAAATTCTCCCTAACCTCAATTCTCAAGCGCCAGCTCTCCCATGAGGCCTTGCCTGATCACCTGGACTGGATTCTGGCTCTCGGATCACCCATAGCCCTTTGCTTATACCTCTCTTACAGTTCTCCTAGTTCTCCTTATAGATACTTGAAACGCATCTCATGTAGACTTACGGAATTTCTGAGATGCAAGGTATGACTGTTCCCATGCCCGCCACCATGTCACCTTCTAAACTGGATTTTTCTAAGGTCTCAGTCTATGTCGACCCTTTCCTGAGACCAGAGTCACTAACTGGGACATAGTCTATTGGCTGCATTTATGGACTTTCTCATACATCTCATCTTTCTGATGCAAAGTCTCTCAACGGGCACTCTGAGTGACCCCGCTATCCGCCATGTACACATCTCAGTGACTTCCCCTGAGGGTCTACACCCTGTCACCCCCTATCCACATTGGGATCTGCCCGAGGGCTGCGTGGCTGTGATGGCCAGTGCCTGGCTCCCTGATTCAGGGTCATTCACCTGTTCTCTTTCCTTTTGAATTAGGGTTCTGAACCTGCCTCAGTTCCGGGGTTTGTGTGGCTCAGACCCCAGACCACAGGCAGGAAACGGTGAAGAAGAACAGGTATAAAATGAGTTCAGCCTTTGACACTGGGAAGAGAACACGAGCTGTTTGCAGAATGAAGAGAAAACAGTCAGAGGTAAGGGAGCATCGCTGATTTCTGGGAAAGAAATTCTGGTCAGAAAGTGAGGAAGAGTGGGGAGAGGGGTGGGGTCGCTGCCCTGTGTCATGAAATTAGGAGCAAGAGTTCCAGGAAAGCACTGCTGTGACTTCTCAACGACACTCTCTTTTCAAATCCTCCCAGAGTCACATAGCTGAGATATACATTGTTTTTAATTATTTTTAATTCCCATGTGCTCCTCCGTTTCTCTGAATGAGACTCCCTGCTAACTGGTACTACAGGGGCTTACCTTTTCTTTGGGATCCATGGGTCAGCCCCGGGCTACATTTTCTATTCAAATTAATCCTTGCAGGTTTTTAATTTTTTTTTTTAACAATTTGCCCCTGAAAATTTCTTTTCTCCATTACCAGCCTTTACTTATTTTATTCCCAACAGTTGTTTTTTTGCTCAGATCCTACTGGCTTTCCAGTTTTCCTTCTTTTATTGCTGTTGTTGAAGAAAGATCCTTTGGATTTTAGTTTTGAAATAATTTCCCATAGCAATGACTATAGGGAAGCCGATACGAATACGAATTATATATGAGAAGTGTAGAGCTGTGATCCACAGCTTATAGGTTCGATCCTTTCGGAGAGGATGAGATAAACATCCCCCAGACTTCTAAGTGTCCTTTCTCTCTCTGCATTCTTCTTACCTGATATTATACGCCAAGACCAGACCGAGACAATATCACCCGGCACTCCTCAACCTAAAGGTACTTCTAGTAAAATAATTAAAAAGAACTTCTTCGCCAGTAGAACACAGTAGACATGACAAATACCTCTAGCCTGCACAGCTCCTTCACCAAACCCAGAAAAATCCTTGCAGGCATGAATTCACATAAAAACTTTGCTTGAGGCCTGGCATGTGTGTGGGTGGGGTAGGAGGGGAAAAGTTTGGCATGGAGGACGGAGGTTTGCCGGAAAAGAGTTGCAATGGAAGGACGGAGGTTTGCCGGAAAAGAGTTGCAATGGAAGGACTGTAGGGGTGTAAGCAGTAGAATTCTTGTAGTTATCCTAATTTCCAGAACAGTTTAGAAAGGAGCTGCAGATACTTACATTCTCCTTACATAGTCACCACGTTGTCTATCATGAAGTGTAGCGTTTACCATGATTTCTAAGCACTTTGAGTTTTGTAAATACAGAGATTAATCACTAGCTCCTGTTGGCTGTAAATAGTCCTGGAAATGGAAATGCCCTTGAGATTGTGAGCTTGATTCTGTGTTACTGTGCATGATATCAAAACTTACCCCTCTCATAACCTCCCCCCAAAAAGCCTCAAAGTAGTGCCAAGTGGCTTCAGTAAATTTAACACATGGGGACATGTTCACATTGACTTTTCACTGACAAGTCTTGGAGGAGAATGTTTATGCTAACTCTTCAGCCTCTAAGACAGAGGTACAGACACATCTACTAAGATCTACAGCTAGTGCTGAGGGTCTTTTCATCTTAAAGATATCTTTCAGGATTGTCCATGTGATTGGCCCAATCCCTCCTGCTGTGTTGTTGGCTTTAACCTGTGGCCACAGTGTGCTTTCAGAGGGCCGACAGAAGCACAAGACCCTCTAACCTCTGAAGATGGACCTGGAGAAATGGTCATGCATCTGCTTTCCTGAACCCAAGAGAGAATGAAATTCCCCCTTGAAAAAGTACTAAATGCATAGGTGCTAGTGGACTCTGCCTTTCCACAGGAGATCTTTCCATAGGCTGAAGGCCCCGTGCCATCAAAGATCTGCCTCTGAATTCATGTGACTTTGTCACAGGCTCCTTGAAGGAGAAGGCAGAAATCTCACATGAATACTGCAGGACCCAAGGGTAAGAAGGGTTCTGAGCTTCTTGACCAAAACCTCTGTTTCTGCCTATATTTTGCTTAAAAAGCAGGATCTCTGGGAATTTGGAGTGTGGCTTTGAAAAGCTACCAACCCTTTCTGAGTAGACTGAGGCTAAGTTCTGGGGATGATGAAGGCAGCCTCTGGAATGCAAGGCCCCAAATTTCAACCTGTCCTCCACCTTTCTGGAAATGCGTCTAACTCAGTCTCAGTCTGACCGCTCTAAAATGAGGTTATCATGTTGTCACGAGAGTCAAACAAGAGAGTGACTCCTTTGATGAGTTATAATATCCTTTGATGAGTTATAAAGATATAGGCAAATGGAAGTGACTCTCACATCTTACAAAATGCGCACATAAAACAAATTTTCTTGGAATGAGAAAGACTAAAGTAATTTCCAGAAAGGCATGTGAATTTCACCGCATATTTCTGAGTGCGGAGGGAAGGATTCCCTCCAGGAAAGAACTACAGTGGGTTGTGTGTGTGTGTCCAGCTTGGGTTTTACGGGTCATGCCCCGGTGACAGAAGGACAGGAAGTGTGACATAACCACAAGACACCCGGATACTAACAGCAGAGTGAGACTAGCACCCTCCCCACCCACCATTTGCACACACAGAGGAGCTGAGGAAGCAAACAGGAAACAGCAAGTGTTGGCAGAACCGGAGACACTTGAGCACTTGTGCTTTATTGACGGATCTGTGAAATGGTGCGGCCACTGTGGAAAAAAGGATGACAGCTCCTCTAGGAATTAAAAATAGAGCTATCGGAAGATCGAGAAATTATACTTCTCATCACATCTGAAACAACTGAAGGCAGGGTCTTGGAGGGGTAATTGTATACGCATATGCAGAGTGGCATTATTCACGATGCCTGAAAGGCAGAAGTGACCCAGAGGTTCACTGAAAGATGAATGATAAACACTGTACGTACAGTGAGGCATTCTGTGGCCTTAGAAGAAAAGGAAACTCTGACATAACCTACAACACGGATGAACCTGAAAGATATCATGCCATGTGAAATAAGCCAGCCATAAAAGGAAACATTCTGTGTGACTTCACTAGGAGACCTGTTTAGAATAGTCAGATTCATGGAAACAGAAAACAGAATGGTGGTAGCCTGGGCTGGGGATAGAGAGAACAGGGGAGTGTTTTGTTTTTGTGGTACTAGGGATTGAACCCAGGCCTTTCGAATAAAGCTACATTTCCTCTAGTCTTTTTTTTCCCTTTATTTTGAGATAGAGTCTTGCTGAGTTGCTCAGGTTGGGCTCAAATTTGTGATCTTCCTGCCTCAGCCTCCCAAAAGTGCTGATATGAAAGACAATTTCCACCATATCCTACTTGGCAGTTATTATTTAATGAGTATACAGCTTAACTTATGCAAGATAAAAATTTTCTGACAATTGATTGAACAACAATAGAACTATTTTAAACTTTATGCTTAAAAAAGGCTACCATGGCAAGTTTTATGTTAGATGTATTAGACCACAATTAAAAACCAAAGAAGAAAAAGAGGAGGAGGAAGAAGAGGAGGAGGAGGAGGAGGAGGAGGAGGAGGAGGAGGAGGAGGAGGAGGAAGAAGAAGAAGAAGAAGAAGAAGAAGAAGAAGAAGAAGAAGAAGAAGAAGAAGAAGAAGAAGAAGAAGAAAGCATCAAATACTACAGTAGTTCTGCCCTCACCTTCCCTCTGATTTGTGACTGGGCTCTTCAGGTTCACAACAGGGCCAAGAGCCCAGCTCTGCTCAGCAGTTCTGCTCAAGTGCTTGCGTAAACACAGCAACAGGAAAAGAATGAAACAAAGCAGTTTCCCTGCCTCAGCTGGCATTTCGCTGGTGCTTCCTCTTACAAAATATTCCCAGGCAAAGGCTGGAGGAAGAGTTTAGAAGAAAACAGAGCATTGTGCTTAGCAGAAAAGAGAGCAGATACTACTTAGCCGTGTTATTTTAGATATGCCATATTCCACTAACAGCTGGCAAGTTCTGTCAAGCATGATTCAAAAGCTGTAATTGCTGAATGGAGCTTCGAGAGAATTCACAGAAATGAAAGTGCATTCCTGCAGATTATTAACATAATCATCTCATTTATATTATGGGCGAGTACCTAAGATGTCTCCCAACTTGATGCTTTATGAAACAGGTAGTTAATTAACACAGGAAAAGCAGCATTTAACCCAGAGCCTTCCCAGCAGGCATCTGGCGAGGTGCAGAAGATAGGAAAGGACAGTGAGCCTGAGCAGAGAGAGAAGCAGAGGGCTGAAGCCAAAATCATGGACGTGGAAACGGGAAGAAGGGAGGCAGAGGTTCTGCGGAGTTCTGCCAGGCGGCTGTGGACTTTCCAGCTCTTCCTGATTGCTTGGTTTATTTGTGGTGCAGCCGTATAGTACCAGAATGAGCTGGCCGTGACAGTGTATGGCCAGGGAGCACAGCATGTCTTCCTTCCTGCTCTCAATGAGGTTAGCGACGGCTTTAGTCTCTGGTTCCGCCTCTGGTCCTGTCCCATCACCTGTGGCCCTGTCCCACAAAATATTATGTCTTGGCAGTTTGTAGATGCGCCACTACCTGAAAAGTACAGGAAACCACGAAGACAGCTCCATGACTTACGTTTAGAAGTGACAGAGGGCAAGCAGTCTTCCTTGTTCGGGGCATCTGTGGGGATGCCAGGGACTGTCCTCATTTGTCTAATTAGTGCTGTGTGAATCAGTCAGCTTAGAAGGTCACCCAAGATGGCGATTTGAGAGGGAACTCAGAGCGCCAAATGCCAGGCTCACATGGCTCAGGGGGCAGATTGGCAAGGGAACGGCCTCCCACTTAAATCTGTGGCGAGCCGTGAGGCAAGTGCTTGGCAACTGCTTCTCAGATTCCCATGTCAGGCTCTGACAATCTCACTGCTCCAAGCCTCTTGTTCGACGTCTCGCTGCCTGGATTCTCATGAGACCAATTTGCTAGGACTTGAAGTAGTGCATCCTCTTTGTTAGCAACTACGAAGCGCGCCCGTGCAGCACCTCTGATGTGCGGAGTGTCTACCCAGGCCCTGCTGTGGAACACTGCAGATATAGCTGCTGGGCACCTTCTGATAACAGAGTCTTACAATGACCCGCACTTTATACAAGGAAAGACAAAAGCAGAAAGGGCCAGTCTTTCAGGGCCACCCAGCTGCCAACTCTGAATTTTAACCCTCGCCATCGGGAGATGGTTAAGCAAAGCACCTCACCATTTCCGCCTCTACTTGCTTCCAATTCTTCGGGAATATTGAGATTTGGAAACTTGGAAGGGCCATAAGGAGAACATGTTGGCTTTGTTTACTACCCACCATCTTGCAGGAAAAATCTCTAATTTTTCTGCTCTTTATAATGATCTATATATTTTAAAACTGAATGATAGATTTCAAATATATTCATATCAGCCTGGGTTTCACTGATCCTTGTTTAGGCAAACCTCACTTGAAAAGGGTTGTACTTCAGTGGGTGATTCGTACTATATGGATAATATCGTCTCTTTGCGGGGAATAAAATCTGAACAGCTTTCAGAATGCTCAGAAAGCTGTTCAGATTTTTTAAAATGATACTGTTTATAATGCACCTTTCCTTGCTTCTGACGCATTCTTCTACCAAACAGGTACTTACTACACCAGGGATATATTGAAATTTCTATTGAGATCTGACCCACAACATGAGCCATTATTATGGGATGAACGGGATTTCCTCCACAGCTGATCCTGTAACAGAAAAACCAAAGGCTATTGCCATCATGAGGTTACTGGATTGCAATGTTAGTGGTGCTCGGTGGTGTTTGAGTATGAAACTGTTTCCTAGGTTTACCTGGGAAAAGATGCCTTGTGAAGCCAATGTGTGTGATTTTTAGTTCTGCAAATGGGATAGCAAGTCCCGATAAGAGGAACATCTGTACAACTCAGAGCATGCGATCGTGCCAGCAGCCGCACTGAGGGAGGCAGACTGTCCTTTTCCTCATGAGCAGATTAGCTGTGCTGGTGAATGCGATCCGCTTACTCAGGGCGAGCTGCAGAGCCATTTTTCAGGGCCCAGGGATACAGAATGAAAGGGAAATTGCCCAGCAGATGGAAAAAGGCTGTTCCAGGTGTAATGGGGCTGGGCTCTGCGTATTTCTGGAAGCAGAAGACTAATGAGCGGAGGGGGAGATAAAGACAACTGTCACCTGCCATGCTCAGAAGGAGGGACTGGATTCAGAGATGAGCCAGAAAAGCTGTTCCAGCCACAGGGCCTTCAGGGAGTAACGGCAGAAAAGGAAGCATATCCTTGGGAGAGAAAGAGGGGCTCTCCATTGTGGGGTGAGGTGGTTTAGAAATGTCGTCAAGGAGAAACCGTCCACTGTCAAAGACACATGGAAGCTGGGTGCCATGTCCCATCTGCATGCACGGTCACACTGAGGAGCCAGGGTGGCTTGGTATTCACCTGCCACTCATTACACTTCTGGTCCCAGAACTGATCTGAGAAGCGCAGAGGCTGTTGCATGGGTTTTACATCACAGAATTCTAACTGGGTGATGGATAACTCACGAACATGGAGAAGACAGGGGAGAAGAAAAATGAAGTCAGCCTGGAAAATGGCAATAGGTCCAAGCAGTGAAAATCCCTGCAGTGCAGTCAAGTTGAAGAAGCCGCTTATCACTGACTTCTAGGGTTGATTTCCAACTGGTAAACTGATTTTTCCCTCACAGGGGTTTCTTTCTTTTCCTAGGTACAGCATATTTTTAGAGCTGGAATGGTGGAGGTCAGGACGAGGAAGCCAAGTGGACCCTTTAGTCTGTACACACATTCCAGGACCAAAGTCAGGCTGCTCATGGGTGTCCAAGTGTACATGCACCTGTCTATGTTAAGGACAGGAAGCACATACAAGTCCAGGGTCTCAAGAAACCTGCTGATCCTCGAGCTGCCTTCGTAGTTTTGGAGAATCTGAAAAATTGAAAAGAGAAGCATTTAGAGTGACTCCAGGAGGAAATCTTTCCTACCATTTTTATGATTTCAACTTAATTGTAAGAGGTGTCTGTGCGTCACATCTCCACTCTCCAGGCCCCAAACCCCTCCTTACTTTTCTTATTCTTTATGGTAGTCATCCTAAAGGTTTAAAGTGTATCAGAATCATCTGGAGAACATTCTAAAACACAGATTGTCCAGCTGTACCCATGCGTTTCCCTTTCCTGCTTCCTTTGTGGGTTTCTAATCTACCAGGTTTGAGAGGGAGCCAAGAGTCTGTGTTTCTAGAAAGTTCCTAGTGAATGTTGATTCTGTTTGTCTGGGATCCACATTCCAAAAACTACTCTTTGCAGGTTATTTTCTAATGTTTGGGTTTCTGAAAAGATTGACCAAACAAATATAGTATTTTTAAAGGATTTTTTCCCTGAAGAGAGTGGTATAAGTAATATGCAGAAATTCACTGTGCTAGGCATGTCTCTATGCCACGGCTCTCAGTCCATACAACAGGTGCATAAATTAATCATACTTTTTCTAGAGGAAAATCTGGAGCTCTCATTGTTAGAAAATCCACCCAGTGTTAGGAACTGAGAAAGAGTCAAGACCAGGATGAGCCCAGAGAATCATCTCTGATTCTCAAGATGCAGTTTCTTCTACATTTTGATATGCGTACTCTCCAAAAATGGTGATTGGGGTGTCAGCTACTAACTCGGTTTCCAGAAAGGTCCTGATTCATTCCCTTTCACTTCAATGAAGGCCCAATTCAGTAAAGAAATTCATCGTCAACATTTAAAAGCAGCATGGGTTCTCAGGAGCCCAGAAGTGCCAGATATTTAGTGAAACTGCTGGCCACTGCATGGAACCAGAGGTACTTACTTCTTTCACAAACCACTGGCAAAAAGCAGGGGCAATCCAGTCCCTGGCATGGATTCCACAGTCCATCCAGATGATCTTCTTGGGGGTACTGGACAGCTGGCTGATCTGGAGAGGAATCAGTGCTCCATCACCAAATGATCACTTACTGTTTGTAAACCATCACGCAACGCCAACCCGGTGCTTCCTTCTCCTAGAGGTGTCTCTTTCTCACTCTATTCTGTGGCTCCAGGAAAATGCCAGCACAGGTGGAGACAGCCACCTGGCACCTCTCCCCTGTCACTCTTCCTCTTGCTACTTGCCTTTGTAGTTATTCTCAGACCATGTGCTTATTCCCCCCGGAGCTCACCCAAAGCATGGTCTTTGTTACATTCTAAATATTCCCTAACTCCAAATAAAGGCATAAAACCCAAAGCCACCAGCTCAAATGCCAAATTTGTATAAATCTTATAAAACCTTGTCACAGAGGGTTCACTTAGAGTGACAAAGTGCACATGAGGTAACGCTCAGTAATCAAAGGAATTTAAAAATGGAAGGAATCTTCGCTTCAACTTTGTGAAACTGTGAATAAGTCAAAAGACATACTCTCCCGCGACACTTGCTTGAGTCCCCTTCTTGAGGAGTTCCTCTGCACTCAGCCAGCTCAATCGCCTTGCTTCTCTGTCCATTTGTTATTACTGGACATCAGGTCCACTTCGTTCCAGCAAGAAAGATTCCCTCCTCCTGCAGGTGAGGGGCTGGGAGCTGAACTGGTGGGTGTGGATTCTCTCCAGGGGACAAGAGACTGTGGCCACTGTGGGATTCACAAGTGGCCATGATTCATTTAGTTTGTTGAAAGCCACTGGGAGCTGCACAATGGAACCTCTCTCCCTCCACATGAAACGCTAACAAGCTGGGGCTGAGGATTTAGCTCAGTGGCATAAGCACCTGCCTTGCAAGCAGGCAGTCATGAGTTCTATCCCTGGGACTGATAAAACAGAAAAGACCAAAAAAAAAAAAAAAAAAAAAAAAAAAAGAAATGCTAACAAGCTATAAACACACGGCTGTCGTATTCCTGGAGCTTTCTCCTGTTAGCTTCTGCTATCTTTCAGCAATTCCAAGACAATTCTTTTTCAAATTTTTTATTAGTACAATTTTGTATTAATAATGTTTACATTCCTTGGTGCATGCAAGTAACACACCTTCATTCTTGTTTCATTCCTTTTCCTCCTCCTCCTCTTCCTTCTCTCTCTCTCTCTCTCTCTCTCTCTCTCTCTCTCTCTCTCTCTCTCTGTCTCTCTCTCTCTCTCACTTTCTCCTTGTCTTTTTGAGACAAGGTCTTGCTCTGCAGTTCAGGCTGAACTTGAACTCACTTCGTAGTCTGGGCTGGTCTTGAACTCATGGTGTTCCTCTTACCTGAGCCCAGTTTGGGGCAGACCTTCAGCAATGCTTCTTTTAACTTTTTCCACATTTCGGATAAAGCTGAGCTGCAAATGATATCCTCCCCCCACCCCACCCCAAGGTCCTTCTCAGCCTTTGAACTCACCTTCAGATAATACATGGGCGGGGACTTGTGTGTTACCCCTAGGAGATGCTGTATCACCGTGTCTGCAGACATCTCTCTGAGCTGTACTATCCACTCATAGATATGAAACCACCAGGAGAATGTGGCTACCAACAGCAGATCACTGACTGATTCTAATGACGATGACTCTTCCACTAAGACACTGGATTCTGGACTCTGCTCCAGATCGCAGCTGCCGTGCAGTACACAGAACAGAAAACCCAGCCAAGGCCTTGCTGCCTCCCATCTTTCCTTTCTTTCAAAGATCTCTCCTGCTGAGTCCTGGTCTCTTGGCATGCATTCTCTTCAGAGTAAAATGAGGCTGACCCCTGAGTCTCTCCAGCCTCCTGCTTTGACCCTGCTGTTGTTCTCCCCAGCAGGTGATACAGCAATGGCCAGTGGTCCTCACCAGAGACTGTATCAGGCTGCCTGGACTTTCAGTTCCTAAACTGTGAGCTAAACAAACCTCTGTTCTTTGTAAGACCAGCCTTCCTCGGGTATATAAAGAAATCAGATTAATATACCAACAGTATCCTTTTCTAATGTCCCCAAATTAGGCAAACTTATGTATAGCCTTCCTAGAACAATACAGCAAAAGTTTATAATCCCATCTTTCAAGCCTTGCTAAGCATCCTAATGTAAGTTGTGATTCCCTGCATCCTCCTCCCGTGTCCTTTCTCACCTCTGCCATGGGGTGGTACTCAGTGTAGGAATAGGTGTCCAGGTTCACTGCTCTGTCCATTACCTGTTCTCCTTGAGTGCTGAGGATCTGCAAAAGGAAGAAAGAGAGACAAATAGTGAAGAAAGTGAAATACTGTTGTAGTTAGGGATTGTGCAGAGAACAATTAGAATCAGGACATGGAGTTTATAATATTGTTTTATGATGGTCACTGGGAGTTTACACAAGAAAATGCAGGAAATCTACCCACAACACCAAAAACATAGAACATTTAGCCAAGGGCCTAAATTCCACAGCAATGTCCCACATGAGTCCAGATGAAGACCCAGAGCTCATGAAAGTGCCTCCCACGAGTCCAACTGGAGGTCCAGAGCCCACAAGAACGACTCATGCCAGTCTGCTTTATGGATCAGTGCTGGGAAGGCCCAAAGGTCAGCGGGGAAAAGGAGCTGTGCTGGTGGGATGAGGGTTCTATGCTGGAGCCAAGAAGCCACACTCACAACAAAGACCATGGCTGTCCTGAAATGCACCACAGCCATCCTCAGTGACATGGAAGCCCCGGGCTCCTTTGATGACAGGCACAGTCTGGTACATGCCAGGAAGCCAGCATGAGGAGTTCATCCTGGAGACCAAGTGGCACACATCTTCCCTTCCACAGCCAGGAAGCAATGCTCTATGTGAGGACCAAAGCTTCTCCAGGGGAACCAACAGCTCAAACAGCAACTCGTAGGAGAACCCACAATGCCCCAACACAACAATGCGTTAACGCCTTCCTTCTCCACGTCTCTATTTATGCTAGCAACTTTCCTCAGGTGGAACACTCAGTGCCATGCTGATGTAATCCAGCTGGCATTAAGTTGACCACCAGTTCTTAATCCATAACAGATACCCTGAGGGCTAGAAGGTTGCTGAGAAAAGTACCGGAATCATTGTGCAGGATTTGAAGCCCAAAAGCCAGTGCTGGAGTCTTGACTCTAATTTCCTCATTGTGAGATGGTGGGCAGTCACTGAACCACTTTAGGCTCCTGTTTCATTATCTATAACATCGAGACAATCGTCCCAATCTCGCAGGGAGGTCAGGATAATTCAATAAGATGTGGATATTTTTAAAAAGCTGTTTTAGACTTACAAAAGGAAAACTAGCTAAGATTTATTGAACTGAAACTTTTTATGAGACATGCACTGTTCTGAGCAATTTAAATCCCATTTGCCTCTCTGTAAAACTCTGAGATAGATACTCTCATTATCTCTATTTCAGAGATGAAGAAACTGAATCAGAGAGAGAGGGAGAGTGATATTGGAATTTAAGTCCTAAAAAACTGACTGAAGAGCCTGTAACATTAACTGCTGTGATGAGTAACATGGCGAGAACTAATCTCTCTGTGGTCGTTTATCTTCTGTTTAAGAAAACATTATTTTTAGAGCACTTGTAGCACAATCAAGTGGAAAGTCAGGTGGTGCCTATGGCCTATGTCTCTACACAGGCAAAACCTTCTCTACCATGGAACCCCACCATGAAACCCCACCATGGACACTCCACCATGAAACCTCACCATGGATACCCCACCATGGACACCCCACCATGGAACCCCACCATGGAACCCCACCATGGACATCCCACCATGAAACCCCACCATGGACACTCCACCATGAAACCCCACCATGGATAACCCACCATGGACACCCCACCTTGGATAACCCACCATGGACACCCCACCATGGACACTCTACCATGGAACCCCACCATGGAACCCTCACCCTGAACACCCTACCATGGAATCCCACCATGGAATCCCCACCATGAACACCCACCATGGACACTCCACCATGGAACCCTACAGTGGATACCCTAGCATGGAACCTCACAATGGACACCCCTCTATGAACACCCCATCATGGAACCCCACCAGGGAACCCTCACCATGAACAGCCACCATGGAAGCCCACCATGAACACTCCACTATGGAACCCTACCATGGATACCCTAGTATGGAACTTCACAATGGACACCCCACCATGGAACCCCACCATGGAACCCCACCATGGAATCCTCACCATGAACACCCACCATGGAAGCCCACCATGAACACTCCACTATGGAACCCTACCATGGATACCCTAGTATGGAACTTCACAATGGACACCCCAACATGGAACCCCACCATGGAACCCCACCATGGAACTCCGCCATGGACACTCTACCATGGAACCCTACCATGGACACCCCACATGGAACCCCTCCAGGGACACCCCACCATAGGACCCCACCATGGACATCCCACCATGAAAACCCCACCATGCATACCCCACCATGGAACCCTACCATGGAATCCCTCCATGGAATCCCACCATGAACACCCCACCATGAAACCCCACCATGGACACCCCACCATGGAATCCCACCATGGATTCCCCACTATTGTGCTACATTAGCTACAACCAGTGAGCTTGTAGGATACGTCACCAGCCAGAACCCATGGTTTGCATAGGTTTTACACAGTGTTGTACTCCATGGTTTTAGACAAATGTCTATGGACACAGATCAGCCACTACAGTCTCATACAGAATTGTTCCTTAGCCCTCAAAATCCTAATTTAGCTGGGTGTGGTGGCACAGGCCTGTAATCTTAGCAGTCTTGAGGGAGCAGGAAGATCATTGTGAGTTCAAGACCAACCCAGGCTACAAAATGAGCTCAAAACCAGCCTGAGCTCATAGCAAGACCTTGCTTTAAAAAGGAAAATAAATAAATAAGGACAAAAAGAAAGAAATCCTAATTTATCACTCCCATCCTCAAGCCTTGGCAACTATTAACTCTTTTTTGTTCTGTAGTTCTGTCTTTTTTCCTCAGGTTGTACAGTCGGAAAGAGTGTGGTGCATAGACAGCCTTTGCAGTGACCAACATGCATTAAACTCCTTCCTGTCCTTTCAAAGCTTAAAAGCTCATTTCTCTCTGGTGTTGTGAAATTTTCCTTTGTCTGAATGAACTACAGGTTATCCATTCATCTGCTGCAGGACATCTTGATTATTTCCAAGTTTGGGTATGTAAGCTTGAACTAGGAATAAAACTTTCTTAAACTCTGCCTGTGGGTTTTCGGGTGTACAGGCTTCAGATCACGGGAGTGAACACCGAGGGGTGCAGTGCTGAGTCCAAAATGTATGCAGTTTGCTGAGAAACTGCAGCCCCAGCTTTCCGAGACTGCAGTGAGGCTCCACACCCCCACCAGCAGGTGGCAAACCCTAACCCTAACCCTAACCGTAACCCTAACCTTAATCCTAACCCTAACCCTAACCCTAACCCTAACCCTAACCCTAACCCAACCCTAACCCTAAGGTGCTCCTGACCTCCTTCCTCAGAAGCACTTGGTGCTGTCGGTTTTGGAATTTGTGTCCTTTAATTAGCAGGTGAGTAGTGGCAAATCATCACTATCCTCATTTGCAGCTCCTCCGTGATATTCCAAGTAGGGCACCTGACGTCTCTACACCTTCTTTGGTAAGGTTATCCATTCAGGGTCTCTGTCCGCTTTTTTATCAGGTTGTGTTTTTAATGAGATGCTTTAGGAGGTCCACATATGTTTTAGATCGCAGAATTTTTCCCAGCTGTGCCTCTTGGAAACATTTTCTCCCCATTTACGTCTTGTCTTCTCATGATCTTGATGTCATCTTTCAGAATAGGCAGTTTAATTTTAAAGTTCAGAGGATCAATTATTTCTTCCATAGATTGCTTTTTCTGTTTATCTAAAAGAAAATCACCACACTCAGAGTCACCTAGGCTTTGGTCTTAAATTATCATCTGGAATATGACAAGTTTACATCCAACATTTAGGAATATGATACTTTTTTTAAATTAATGCTTGATTCATATTGTTTTACATATGGATGTCTAGTTGTTTAGCATTATTTGTTGAGAAGAATACCTTTGCTCTGTTACATTATCTCTCTTTCTTTATCAAAGATCAGTTGGCTACATTTATCTAAACCTACTTCTAGGTATCCTTCATCTATCTGTGCCTTTGGTGGTACCACACTGCTTTGATTACGGTAGCTTTGTATTTAGTCTTGAGCTCAGTATCAACCCTGTCACTTTATTGTGTTGGCTACTTTGGGTCTTTTACTTCACACAATCTTCAGAATGCATATGTTGAAAGTCACAAAATAACCTACTTGGACTTTTATTGGGATTTCATTGAATCTATACCTAAGTTATAAAGAGTTGATACCATGACATTAAGTCTTTCTATATATAAACATAATGTGTATCTCCATTTATTTAGTTTTTCTCTAATATTGTTCATGAAAGTTTAACAGAACTCACCAGATAGTTCTTGTACACAGTTTGATAGATTTGTACCTGCATATTGCAATGAGGGGACAGTAGTGTAAATGGTAACGTGCTTTTCGTTTTGAACTTCTCTTGTTTACTGTTAGCATCCAGAAAATCAACTGACTTTCCTGTGCTGCCCTTGTATCCTGGAACTTTGCCATAATTGCTTATTAATTCCAGGAGATTTTTTGTTGTTGTTGAACCTTCCTGATTTTCTAAACACATATTTATGTCATCTGCAAACAAGATGACATCTTCTTTCCTAGTACATGTACTTCTGTTCACTTTTCTTGTCATATTGCATTACTAGGGCTTTAGTACAATGTTGAAAACAGTGTTGAGAGCAAATATCCTGTTATTGATTGATCGTAGGGAGAAAGCTTTTAGTTTCTTACCATTAAGCATGATGTCAGCTGTTTTGTGAAGACAGTCTTGTTAAGTTAAGGAAGCTTTCCTCTTTGTATCATAAATGGGTGTTGAATCTTGTTGATTTTTTTCATGTCTGTTTGTATGGTGATGAGATTTTCCTTCTGTGATAGATAACATCAATTGATCTCTGAAAGTTGAATAAGCCTTTTATAAATAGTATGAATCCCATTTGGTCATATCGTATGCTTCTTCTTACACATTGCATGAGTGGATTTGCTAATGTTTTGTTGCGGATTCTTACTCTAATATTCAGAAGGGATTGTAGAGAATTGGAATAATTTCTTCCTCAAATGTTTGGTAGAATTCCTCCATTGAACCCACCTGTGCCCACTTTCTGTTTTAGAAAATTACTAATCATAGGCTAAATTTACTTAATAGTTATAGGCTTGTTAGTTGTGCTCCAAACTATTTATTTAAGATGTATCTTTGGCAAGCAGCTTAATACTAGCATTCAGTGCCTTGTCCACCCCAGATATTGCACTAGCACCTAAGAGACCGTATTTACACACCGTGTGTGTAACTTACTTCTCATTATAGCCATGTAAAATTATTCATGTTCCATAAATGAAACTAGACCAGAAGGAGCTAAATAATTTGCAAAGAGTCAGAACTTGCAAGGAGACACAGAACTGTATTGCTAAGGTACAAACACGTAGCTTAGTTCCCTGGTTAAAAGATTTTGTTTTACAAACAAGATCATGTTTTTACTCTATGACTACATGGCTGATAACTCCTTTACCCAGCAAATATGCATGGGTGTGTCAGTGCTGCTGTGGCGCAAACTTTCCCAAAGGCTGCAGTGCAGACTTTTGAATTGTGGTTCTAGATAAGAGGAAATGTATGAGATCTAATTAGCTAACTTTCAATGGCTTTTACCTATTTAACCACGTTTTGAGCTTTTACAGTGTTTCATCTCAGTAGTACCTCAACAAAAGGATTCTCATGAGATTAAATAAATGAATCCATTTAACAATAAGCACAATTTCTTACACAGAGTCAATTTCTAACAAATGTTAATTAAATACAGTCATTCAAAACAAAGCAAAATCCCTACTTAACTGCCATAACATTAAAAAATAATTGTACAAAGAATAATTAAGCTGTGCAACTAGCATTTTTCTCAAACTATGTCAAACTACAAAATATTTTGCTAGGATTAATTAAAATACAAATTTCACTCATGCCTACCTAAGTCCAGCATTACATTCTCTATATTTTAATTTTTTTCTAGTTTTCTAGCATCATGTACCACCTTTAACTCTTCTAATGGAAATACATTTCTTTACACAATTCTACTTGAAACTTGAAGTTACATGTGTTATTGTTAATTATTATCAGTAATACTAATTTTTTTTTTTTTTTTTGGTACTGGGGATCGAACTCATGACTTCATGCTTGCCAGGCAGGCGCTTATGCCACTAGGTAAATCCCCATATCAGTAATATTAATATGAACAATTTGAAGCTCTCTGACTTGAAAATTATAAATATTTTACACAAATTTTATTATCTTTATCTTGTTCAAATGGAAACCTTTTGGGGCAAGATTGCCCAAATAAATTGCCAATAGCTAAAACACTAAATATGAGTTTTAGATGGAGGTTTACAGAAATA